AGGAGGGGGTCAGTGTGCGCTGCTGCCTGGGTGCAGGCAGGAGGAAAGGATGCCGCAAGCCCCGCAGAGGTCACTCTTTGCAGCAGCAGCAACAGCAGCAGCAATACTGTCCCCGGGCCCCCAGGTCACTTTGCACCAACCTCAGGCTCTCCTGCCTCCTGACACCCCCAGCCGTGCTCCAGGATTTGTGGAGATGGGAGCAGAGCTCCTGCAGAGCAGGGGTAGTGCAGGGAGCAGGAGGCAGGCAGGTGCAAGCAGCATCCCGGGCTGTTCTGCACTTGCAGTCGTCTTATCCCATCCTGCAAGTCATCGGTAGCTTTCAAATACTGCTTGCTTTCCTATTTGTGTTAGCGGAAGTGCTAACTCATTACTGGTCTTGTGCAAATGAGTGGTGCTTCCAGATACACAGCACAAAGCACCATTGGCCCTTGTGAGTGCTATGGAGGTCTGGTGTTCCCCTCTGCAGAACCCACAGCAGCAGCAGCAGTCCACGGGTTGCAATTTGAAGGCAGTAGGAGATAAAATCTGTTTTCTTCTCTGAGAGGCTGGGGAGCAGCTACTTTTGTTAACTCAGTAATGGTTTCACAATTGCTGTTATTTAGTCTTTGATAATGATGGGCCTGTCTCAGTACCTGCAGCTGCTAGCCAGCCCGCTGGATCAAGGGCTTTGAAGTACAAATGCTGCAGACAGCCGAATGTCAGCTGTCTGGAAGCTTTCCATGTGGAAAAACTTCAGGAGCACTCCTTAGTGCTGGGATGTTTTGATTTGAGTGGAAGTACCTTTCAAGGAAAAGCAGGTAGTTGTGTTTCAGCTGTTAAAAAAAAAAAAAAAAGGCAGCAGGTGCAGCACTTTTTWCTCGCACTTCTGCTCTCCATGCAAGAGAGTTTAAGCCTTATATGCCGTAATTGTTACGGACAATTAATACAATTCCTTAACCTGGTCTGGTAAACTTTTCTCAGAGCACTGGGTTCAGTGTAGGAGACTCCACATCAGCGTGCTGTGAACTGATGCTGTTTTTGCAAGATGACATCAGTGACCAGGGAGTCTCACATCATAGGGGCTGTCTTTAAAGAATATCCAGTTTCTGTCCATCTAAGTACTCTGTGCCCTTCTGCCTATCCTCCCATCCACACAGAAAAATAGAAGCTCTCTTCTGTTGCCCTTATCTTCTTGGTGGAATACACTGAAGAGCATTGGGAAGCCTGCAGGAGGGCTGTATTTAATTGTTATATATGCCTGTCCTTTTGTTTCATTTCTTAAACATTTCTGCTTCATTTGGCAGAAAAGCCATGTTTAGTTTTCTCCAAATGAACATTTCCAAGATATGTGCACTTGAGTTTGGGGTTGAAGGAAAAGGAAGCCCAGTTCATTAGACAGTGATTGTTACTTGCAGGATTTTCAATTGAATAACCCTCTTCATTTGGCAGTTTCAGACAGCATTAGATATTGCCATATTTGGAAGAGGGGATCCTTACGCATTGGTTATTTTTAGGCTTTGAACTGTTACTTGTTTGACAAGATTGGGGGTTTTTTGGATGTAATCCTCTGAATTCTGGTTTGGCTGTGAATGGAGGCTGCTTTCACAAATCCTCTGCAAAGTGCRGTTGGAAAGACTTACACCATATCTTGACACTTTATCAATTAAAACAGCATTTGTGTTTCAGTGAGGGTTGTCTGGTAGTACTCTGCAGTAGCAAGTTAAACTGATTTATAGATGAAGTGTTACATGTGGTCTGAACTTCTCCCTCTATAGTTTTTTCCTTTTACCTCCTCCCCTCAGGATTTTAGCAAGGGCATAGATTTGTCACAGTAAAACCACATGGTTAGTAGCTCTTTCTAATTCACCAAAATCCATTTGCAAATTTGTGTTTTCGTCAGAACTGCCACCAGAAACACACAGATAAATTGCAGATCAGTAATTGAAACTCTGAGTCTGATTTTAAGGCTGATTATTACTAATTCCCTTATAAACTGTACATTTTTTACGAAACTTGGTCTTCAAAAAAAAAGTTCAAAGCACTTTCTTTTTACCCTTTGTGAGTTGCTGAAATGCTTGAGATAGTTCCACTAAGTTATGTACTCTTGAAATTATCAGAACATTAGTTTCAGTTGCGGCAAACTTGTTGGAGAGATCTTTCATTAGCTATTTTTGTATGTTAGAAATTCAGCCCTTTTTTTTTGCAGGTATCTTAGGAAAGATGATACTTTAAAACCTTCTGCTTCTTTGAGAAGAATATATTTAGATAAAAAGTTGAATTATGAGGAAATGAGTAAGGATTTACTGCCCATGGCATAGCATACAAGTGGGACAAGTTACTACAGGAATGGGTATTGAAGCAATGATAACCTCTGGGAGTGGATGTTCATTGCCTGTGCACACCATCTTCAGCATCCCTCATCTACAGATGTGCAAAGGAAATAGAAAAAACAACCCTTCTGATACCAGCTCTGCATGAAAACCAGATTAACCTTTAAACTCTCAGATTCAAAAAATATAGCTTTTCTCCCTCACCAGGCAGGTAAACGTAGGGAGATGTAGACTCTAACTGGCTTCCTGCATAGTGGGAAACATACTCTAAATAAGACCAGGAAAGCATCCACATGCTTCTTACAATCAAGAAATTGAAGACAGTACAGCAGTTATAAGTGTCACAGTCTGATCCTTCACAAGTTGAGTGACTCATTTGCCTCCAATATGTATGTTCGTGTGCTATTTGAATAATATATTTTCTGGTGCTTCCTATCTTCCAACATTGTGTCAAATGAGATGACTGGGCAAACAGAGGTAACTGTGCACCCTCTGTTCTGGCCCATCAAGGCTCATCATGGTAAGACAGTATTACGCATTTTTTCTTCTGCAACAGATCAGTGAACAGATTCAGTGAACAAAATAGATACGGTCTTTGTTGTTTCTGACAAAGTTTTGAGCTTTGAACCAAAGCAAGTAAGTGGAAAAGAAGCATTTGTCATTAGGATGAGACTGGTATTATTCTGTGATGAAAGGCAAGGTTTTATACTATAGCTGCGACCATTCTGTTTGTACCTTGCAGTGAGCCATCTCTATGGATTTGGCCTGATGGATGCTGAAGCAATGGTGCTAGAAGCAGAAAAGTGGACTACAGTGCCTCCACAGCATGTTTGTGTGGAGAACACGGATCGACAAATCAAGTAATACCCGCTGCCAAAACCCTTGCTGGCATAAACTTATGGAAAGAAATCGGGTGGAATTTACCTCTCTCTTGTATTGTGTTTAATTATGAAGGCTGATCTGGGGATCTCTCACCTTCAGAGATGTCAGGTCATTTGCCTGTAAAGATTGCTTGCCATAATTCTCAGAAAAAAACGATCTAATTTAAAGAATACCCTAGAACTTGCAAGTCTAAAATAAATCAGGCTGGGTGTTGATTGACGCTAGTAGAGGTGATGCTCAGAAGAACAAGAATGTCTAGATGAGTGCACTGCAGTCACCTTGAAAGATTAGTACAAACTCTAGTGTCTTTTCATTAAAATCTTACTTTATGTTATTTCTCTTATGACAGCTGCAGGAAGGTCTCTAATTTGGAAGCTAAAACTAAATGATCTCCTGCTTGCTCAGGGGAGGTCTCTGTAGAACCAGGCATCAGAGTAAAATTTGGCATGCACAGTCTGTGCATACAGGGTGAGCATCAGTGGTAAGGCATATTTACAAAGCAGTAAAATCAGCRAGGAACATTTTTATTTAAAAGATATATGGCAAGGCTACATGCAAAACTACTATAGTCTGCTTGGAAGTTATGCTAGTTTAAACCAGCTGAGTCAGACACTGTTTGCCCATTATTTGCAACAGTTAATATGTAATACTTGCTATTACTTAAGCRAGGTCTATGGTTATGCCAGGCATTTCCTGGAACTTAATGACCAGCTGCGATCCCATGACAATCCCAACAATTCTTTGCTGGCCACTAATCCACAAAAAAAATGCTTTGCCCCAAAGGTTTATTGCTGTTACGTTTTTTCACTGTCCTCTTTTACTTTGTGTACATGTCAGGATATCCCTTAATAGAAAGCCAGATATTTGGCAATGACTGCAGTAAAACTGAGTAAATCACCCTTTGGTGATAGTTTCAGCTAGGAAATAAATGCTAAAAATAAGAATTACAGGCTATTCACTTCTCAGAAGTAGTTGTCCAACACTGGCATTTACTATTAAGCAAAAGTGATTTGGTTGTCTTCTTTTACAGAACAAGTGAAAAACATTAACGTTGTTCTTATATGTTTGTATTATAGAACTATACGACCTGACAGTGTCGTCCGTTCCATTTACAAAGCCACCGGGTGCTCAGACAACCCCAACCACCACGTGATCTACTTGGAGCACGTGGTGGTGCGCATCACTATCACCCACCCTCGACGTGGAGACTTGGCCATTTACCTAACCTCTCCTTCAGGAACCAGGTCACAGCTGTTGGCCAACAGGTACAGTATGACAGCCCAACCTCATGATACAGTCAACATGCACTGAGATTGCAGCAGCAGCAGCAAGGAGTAGTCAAGTCATTACAGTAGGTTCACTGGTGGATGCAGGATCCATATTATTTTTCTGAGAGAAATAGGGAAACTGRAGTATAAAAGAAAAGATGGTGGTCTCTAACAGCAGAAGAATAGTTTGTAAAGCTCTTGAGGATCATCATCTTTAAAACTGAGATTAGTCAATTTTGATAGTTTTCTGTGGCTTCCCAAGTATTAAAAGACTGAGCAGTCCAAAGAAGATAATGAGAGGCTGATTATCACCGAAAAAAACTGAAGCTGAGTGGAAATGGGTTTCTTCAGACCATTGGCACTTATTTTTTTCATTCCCCTCCTTTCTTATGCTTTTGTCCACTGGTAATAAAGATCAGACAAGGCAGTAATCCTCTCTAATTATTCTCTTTAAGCTTTCACAGTATAGTAATGATTCCTGCTGTAACCAGTTCCCATATCCTTTTTTTTTTTTTTGATATTTAAGTAGTATGTTTGAGCCATGAAAAGCTCTTGGTAGAAGAGTGCTGAAAAGTTGTCTTGGCACTTCAAAAAGAATATCACTATATACAAACTACCTATTAAAATGTTAAAAAAGCCATCTGTTTCCTGTTTCCAACAGATCTGTGGTAGATATTTGCTCTTCATCATCATCCCCTCTTAACACGAGCCACTAACAAATATATATCCTTTGTCTCAATGTTATCTCTGCATTATGTTCTTGAGAATCTTAGTCTACATRATGCTACATGATGTTGAGCAGAGGGGCAGGATCCCCTCCCTGCCCCTGCTGCCAACATCCTCCTCATGCAGCCAGGAGCCCATTGGCCTTCTTGGCCAYSAGGGCACTGCTGCCTCATGGMTAACTTGGTGTCCRCCAGGACTMCCAGGTCCCTCTCTGCGGAGCTGCTCTCCAGCAGGTCAGCCCCTAATCTGTCCTTGGTGCCTGGGGTTATTCCTGCCCAGGGGCAGGACCCTGCACTTGTCCTTGTTGAACCTCATGAGGTTCCTCTCTGCCCAACTCTGCGGCCTGTCCAGATCCCTCTGAATGGCAGCACAGCCTTTCGGAGTGTCGGCCATTCCACCAGCTTGGGATGATCCACAAACTTGCTCAGGGTGCACTCAGTGCCCTCGTCCAGGTCACTGATGAAGAGCTTGAACAGGCCTCCAACTGGACTTGGCCCCATTTATCACCACCCTCTRAGCTCTGCCATCCAGCCAGTTCCGAATCCATCTCGCTGTCCACCCATCCAATGCACACTTCCAGATCTTTCCTATGCGGATATTATGGGAGATGGCGTCGAAAGCCTTGCTGAAGTCAAGGTAGACAACATCCACGTCTCTCCCATCGTCTAGCCGGCCAGTCATCCCATTGTAAAAGACCAAACTCTTCTTTCTGCAGGGTGCATAGTATGATAAATAATGTTTGTGCTGTGGGGCATGGTAGGTTTAGGTAATTGCCATTCTGCTGGGCACTCAATGGGTTCCAATCCAAAAGCTGACATCAGTGCAGTATGTCTCACTGGCAGAAAAACATAAATGTTTTGGACAACTCTTCTGCCTTCCAGCTCAAGACTTCACCAAAAGTAATATTCCCAGTCGTAGTCTTCAAAGTGTTCTATGAAGTGGGACTATCTCACCTCACCATCTCATTTGCCCCAAGCTGACTTGGCGACCCTACCTGACTGGATCTGGAGCCTTTCACTGAGGCCTATCCCTCAGTTGTGTCAGGACCTACCTCTCCTCTCAGGATTAAGGACCTGTTACAGAGAAAGAGAGAATTCAAGAGGATTCTGTTCTGACTGAAGGAACAGAACCCACATTTTCACCGGAGATGAGGTTAACTTCAAAGAAAAGGAAAATACTTCGTAAATATTCTTCAAGCCATGGACATAAGACGCCTAGACACATTCAATGGAGGCAAAGTTTTTCTGGAGTTTTTACCCACCTCAGCTGTGTCCTGTGTTTCATTACCAGGGTTGTCAGTGCCTTGTACTTAAAACACATGTGTACGCACATCTACCTACATTCTTACTGCACTGAGCTTACCCTTTCCTGACCACAGGCAGACACCTACCCTCTAAACAGTTATGAATCAGGCTTTTGTTTTYTCTCTGAAAGAATCCTTCTGTAGTTTTCTGTTTTGTTTTCATGTAGCAGTTCTGCAAAATGAAGAAATCTGAAAGTCTTCCAGTAGGTATCCAAACAAAACAAGCTCGTGTAAACCCAGTGGTCTTAACACAGCTAACTTCTGGCTCTAGCCTTTCATGTCTTGCAGTTGACTCACAGCAAGTGGGAGATAAAGACATTCCAGTATTCACAGTTCACCTCTGGTGATGACTAGTATGTGGAAAAGGTACAAAGTTTAATTCAATCAATCTCTTTGTAACCCCTGTTCCATAAAAAGTAATTGTTTACTGTGCCTGTGGCAGAGAGAAAAARCAAATGTAGGTACTAAAATATAAGATGTTCATCTCTTTTTTTAATCCTGTATTAGAAGAAGTATACTTAGAAAACAAAGAAACCTGAAGTGCTTCTTGATGTTTTACCTTTTTCCAAAAGCAAATTCTTCAAATAAAAGCGAAATGTGCTCACAGTAGGAGTTATTTCCCCATGCAAGCTTCAGAGATATACAGACTTGTCAGTCATATTTAACRCATGCTGACTCACAACTCCGGGTTACTAATAATAAGGGATAAATGAATTTTGGAAAAATCTGGGTGTGAGATTTACTGGAGCCTTCAGAGGCCCTGCTGTAACATAAAGTGATGTATGTGGACACAACAATTTTCAAAACAACATTTCAAGACTTGTTTTACTTGGACTTTCTGTAGGAAATCTTACATCTTAGTGGCCTTGGAATTAGTATACTGAGTGTTGTTGGATGTGTACTTTTTAGCATCCTGCTATTTAATATGAAAACCAGAGAGTTGTTAATCACTAACATGAGAATTTCTTTGGTTTTGAGGCATTTAATGCTTAAAATGTTAATAATGAGGGCATCCAAATAAAGGCATTTAAGTACAAGTAGCATTCAGTGATGTCCTAGCAGCAAATGGTCTAGTTTTTTTTTAGGGTGATTTTTTAATTTTTGTTGTTGTTGGTGGTGGTGGTGGTGGTGGTTTTCCTATAGTAAAAGCTCCCAGAGGCAGCTATGCATTGTTGCTACCTGACTGAGACGCTTTTCTCAGACATGCAGGACCTTTTAATGCACACGTACTTGATTAATAGCAGCAATACCAGCTGTTTTTACTGAACCCAGGGAAAACCTCGTTGCTTTACCATTACTCATCTGGGTTTAATTCAAAACAGTTTGCTGGTAAAATGTCTTGAAGTGCAAAAAGGACTATTTTACACATGTGCAGTTCTTCTCCACCAGTTCTGGAAGAAGAGCCATTGTATAGTTTCTGGTGCAGGGACAAGTAGGTCTCGCAGGCAGTATCTGGCCTTTTTTCCTACATATTTTGTTCTCAAAATTGGCATCCCCTAAAATGACTTCAGTAAGAAAACTTGTTAGTCAGAGGCGGTGTGGATTCCTTTGCAGGCATTTGGTGGATTACACTGTCACTGGCTTGAGCCTCATGTGCATTCTTCAAAAACTGCATTACAGGGAACATCTGCTTTGTTGTTTGGAAAGTACTAAACATGATTACATTGGATGTACTGCAACGGAGGAAAATACAGGCTTGGAAAGTGCTGGCTGGTGTGAGGATGAGGCTTAGTCAGTCAAAATGACTACAGTTAAGTCCAAATGGGAACAGTATCCCCCTTTTAAAAACAATTGGCCATTGGATTTGGCAGCATACGTCTCAGAGTATTTTGAGACATACCAAGATCTGTTCTAGCAGACACTCAATACAGGGGGCCATGAAGGAACAGCTAAACAGAAAGAGGACAGAAGAGGCAAACTTGGTGCTCATTTGTCTCCTGCCAAAGTCACGGCTTTTTTAAATATTGCCCTTTAAATTTAAAGCAGCTGCTGCCATTCGAACTGCGTTACTGAGATTTTTTAACCACGTGGTGGCAAGTTTCCAGGCCACTAACTTCCTTTGCTTACATGGCACTGACTTTAATAATACCTCTGTTCAGCAGTAGAAGGAAGTATTTTTAATATCGTCTTTTTTTTTTTTTTTCCATGTAATGAAATCTTTGATAATTGGTAAAGTTCAATAATGTCCTCCTCCCTGGAAAACTCCTGCATCAAAACTGAGATACTCTCATCTAATCTCAATTCCCAGATCACATCATAAAAATTGTAGATCCTCAGAAGTAGAGGAAGCTATTTCTTTTTGGGAGATTATTTTGATTTCTGAGTCCTGATCTTTTTAATTACAGTTTGCATATCAAACTTCAACAACAAAAATTACATATTAGGGGTAAAAAAGAAAAAGATAAGGTCAATCTTTGTTCTGAGTCCAGGTAACTGAAAATTTACTTGTGACATTATTAAATCCAGAATGAGCAAACAGTGACCCTGTGCTTGTGCTATGGATGAAGCAGTTCTTGGAAAAATGTTTTCTCCCAAATCAAATTTACTGTGTTCTGTTTTGTTCCTTGTTTGCTATGATCTTTTATTTTTCTAAATAGACCTCTCACTATCCTTCCTTCCAACCTCTGTTCTTTGCAGTCCTACAACTGCAGTGTCAATATCTCTAAAATGGAATGATTACTTCTTTTGTTAAACCCAGTCATTATTAGTGTTAGACAGATTAAGACGTCCTGGGGATTCTTGATATAGCATCAAAAGCAAAACAGTAAATAGTTTTTTTATATCAAAGAGGAAATGTAGTTGTTGATTTTCCCAGCTCAGCAGGAAAGACCAAAAACCAGGTTTATGTGCAAAGATAAATGTGGAAAAGAATGAATTGCAATGTATCTGAGATCTAGAATGACACATGCCTTCCTTTGAGGACTGGGAGCAATATGTGCAGAATAGTACATATTGGCTGAATGTGCAG